ATCCATCCATCCATCCATCCATCCATCCATCCATCCATCCATCCATCCATCCATCCATCCATCCCTTTTTTCATCCATCCACCCTTTTATTTACCCCACTGAAGACCCCACCCATCCCAACCTCCCCCTCTTTGCCTGTTTCTGTCCTTGCCAATGGCTTTGGGCACCCAGGGGTGACAGCTTGGCTGGAGATGCCTCTCCCCCAGRAGCAGCCGGGCTCAATTAGCCCATTTGGGAGCAGAAAGAGGAGATTGGRAAGGATTATGCTGAGAAAACAGGCAGTATTTCTTCTTTGCCCAGTAAAAGGAATAAAGGCTTTTCTTAAAACCATCCCACTGCTTAAAAGAAATTCCATTTCTTGAAGCCATTTTCTTCTGCAGTGTCTGGGCACATCCCTTCTTTGTGGCATCTCAGTGCTGGGGGCCGGACTGGGATGAGCCTGGGCAGCCCCTCCCAGCCCAAAAAGCTCCAGCAGAGGAGCTGAGTGCTGGAGCCAGGCTGTGATCCCTGCTGGACCTCAGCCCTTCCCCAACCCCCCCTGGCACCCACCATAAAAAATCCCTGGGCTGGTTCTGCCTTTCCCTGGCCGAGACTCGAGGAGGGGAGAGGTGCCCAGACCAACCACCCACACTCAGCCACTCCACAAACAGCAGGAAAAACCAATCTGCTTCTTTGTAGTTTTATTTTTTTTTTACCAGCAGATAAAAGAAAAATAGCTCTCTAGTTCTTTTCCCCCTGTGGTTTCTGTGCTGGTTTTTTTTTTCCTCTGCTAAACTGTGTATTTTTCAGCTCAGTAAAGTATTTATTAGGAATCTTTACAGACCAGTCTGCTGGTGAATTATATATTGTACAGCTTCGGCGTGAGCTGGGAAAAAAAAAAATTACAACATTTTTTCCACCCAGGCTGATTCTATCCAATAGCAATAGGAAAATGAGGGTTTACCAGGAAAGCTTTAAGTTCAGCTCTGCTTGCCAGAGCTGCAGATACCTTTTGTGCCTTGGTTCATGTGCATTTCTGGAGTGTGAATTTTCCTTTCTAACTCGCAAGAGAAACTAAAGCTGAGCTCTGATGGGCTTTGGATCTTGCTGCAAAGTGTCCAGCAGCCATGGCTTGTCTCTTTTCTTTTTTGAATGGATTTCTCACTTCAACATCAATTGTTTTTCAGATCATCCTCAATTCAATGCACAAATACCAGCCCCGGCTGCACATTGTGAAGGCGGACGAGAACAACGCGTTCGGCTCCAAGAACACGGCTTTCTGCACCCACGTTTTCCCAGAGACCTCCTTCATTTCAGTCACCTCTTACCAGAACCACAAGGTAGGCAGTTTTTGGGGCTAAAAATGCTTTATTTCTGGCCAGGAGCTTTAAGAGAGGATCTTCCTGTTCTGCTGCTTTAAAAGATAAGTTTCCATGCTGGCTTTGATGGTGAGGATGAGCCGGTGGATGCAGCTCTGGAGGAGCAGGGATGATGCTGGTAACAATATTTTGGCAGGCCCTGGGCTCTCYTGCCTCGCTGTGCTCATGGAGCTGAGATGTCATTCAAACAGCAAAGCACATCTAATAATGACCAGTAAAGCTTGCTCATAAATCTGCAGTGAAAAGTAATTATAGAATGTGTGTTTAGTGAGACAGACGAGGAATGTAACCATAAAAACGGAGCTCAGAGCCGGCTCTGCGGTTTGCACRGGGAGGCAGGAGGGGGCTGGGGGTGTTCTGGGGGTGTGAAGCACAAAGGGCTCAGTTCTGTGCTCTGGCTGGGTGTCAGGGGCACCTGTGTGCTCTCGGGGCTGGTTCTGGTTTGTGCTGTTGGTTGTGGCAGTGGGCAGAGTTCTGGCTGAGGATTTTACCAGCCCAGGATCCCAGCAGGGCTGACAGCAGCGCGACARTGAATTGTCACCTCCCTGTGGCAGCAGGAGCGCTGTCACCAGGGCAGGGACAGGGGAGGATGGCAGGAGGGGATGGAAAGGCTTCTGATTCTATCCTGCTCAGCCTTTGCACAAGCTGCTGCTCCCAGGCATTTTCCTAATGGCAAAGTCCAATTGCAGGGCTGTAAGAGCATTAATTGGAATTTTTAAATCCATAACGAAAGGTGCAGAGAGAGGTAGCACTGCCAGAACCCTCCTGTCACCCCAGTGTGAAAGCTGCCACGTGTTACTGTAGCAGTTCCTTTCCTACCCATTCATAGGAAAATCCTGCAGGAACAGGAACAAGTGTGAAATTCTTCCTCCCCAATAACCTGACCAGAGCTTTTCCTCCCAAGCAGGATGCCTGTGTGCCCTTTGATGCCTGAAGCATAGAGTCCTTGCAAAACTTTTGCAATTAGTGAGCCAGTTAAGAGACTCAGAGCAGAAATGTGGATGTGGTATGGTAAGGCAGGGTGGGGGGAAAGTGCCCATTAGGACACTGAAGGCAGAGAAGTTGTAGCTGTTGATGTAAAATGACCAATTGCCCAAACATGGTTAACCAAAAAGACTCAAAAGAGCTTATATTTAATACACACTTAAAATGTCTGGTGTAAATAGTGCCTTTCATCCCTGAAGTTCCCAAAGTGCTCCATAAACTCCATACCTGCACTGTCACTGCTGTACAGCCACTGCTGGGAGCTTTGGGGCTCCTGCTAACAGGAAGTGTTGTTGTAAATAATTGTCTTTTTAAAGCTGAGGAAGCTGAGGATAGGTCAGGGAGAAAGGTGTGTGTTCACCCCAAATCCCCTCCTGGGCTGGGTGAAGCCAGGGGAAGGTGACAAGGAGGAGCTGAATCCCTGATCCTGCTCACTTCAAAGGAAATCCACGGTCCSAAATAACCAAATGAAATGAAGATGTACAAACCTGCTGTCAGGCTGTGGCTTTGGAAGGGTCCTGYGCTTCTTGTGGTTCATCAGCTGCTTGAGCTCCCCTGGAAGAGCTGGAGCCCTGGAGGCTGCTTAAATTCACATGTCACCACCTTCCCCCTGCACCACTGATAGCAGCCAGCTGTGCTCTCAGGAGTTTTTTTGGTCAGGGATATTTTTCAACATTGCTAAAAGTGCACTTGTTCGTAACARCAACACTCAGGCAAAACCAGCCCAAAGCACAACTGGCTGCTCTCCTCCCYGCTGAAATGGGATGCAGGAGGCTCAGGGCAGCCAGAGGGGCCTCAAGCAGCACTGTTTGAGTTGGGATGCTGTTCACAGAGGAAAATGACTGAATAGGRTCATAATGGCACAGAAAATTCTTATGGAAATTAGGGAGAGCCACAGCTTGACCAGCAGAGCTCTCTTAACGTGGAAACACAGGAGTCCTTTTAAATCAGAGATATTCTCTCTATCAGAAGTCCAGGAAAGGAACACGAGGCCCAGAATAAGACACTTGCAGCTCTGCATTTCATAGGACATCACACAAGGCACCTCAAAACCCACTTCTGGTCTGATTTGCTTTCAAACACTTTATTCTTGATTTCATTCTTTTAAAGATAACCCAGCTGAAAATTGAAAACAACCCCTTTGCCAAGGGTTTCCGGGGCAGCGACGACAGCGACCTGCGCGTGGCACGGCTCCAAAGGTACCTCCCTCCTCATCCTSCTCCTCCCGTGCTGCAGCYCTTTGGAGAAGCAGCTGAAAGGTGCCCCAGCCACGGGGCATCGTGTTTGCATGTGCCATTTCTATCCCTCAAAAGCTCTTCCTGTAACTCGGTGACACACTCTGTGCTGTCAGCTCTTGCCCACACCCAGAGGAGCGCGATGAGTTCATCGTCTGAAGCGAAGGGTGGTGAAGTCATTGGCTGGAGATGCCCTGGGGGAGCCAAACCGACATCTCATCATTCTGTTGACGAAATTCTGATGATGCTTCATTTTTCTCACCTCTTTCAGCAAAGAATATCCAGTAATTTCCAAAAGCATCATGAGGCAGAGGTTGGTGTCCAGTCACGGCCAGCTGTCAGCAAAGCCTGATGTGAACCCACTCCATGGGAATCACCAGACCCTCCAGCATTATCAGTATGAGAACGGTGCTCACATGCAATTTGCAGCTTCGGATACTCAAGATCTGCCACTCAACACCTTCACAGCACAGAGAGATTCAGGGCTCTTCTACCATTGTYTAAAGAGAAGAGGTAACTCGAGTTTACAGCTAGAAAAATATTACAGAAAATAAACCTGGGAGCATGAATTCTGTTTGGGTTGGTCTCTTGGGCCTTGGTCTTCAAAAATACTGTTGTGACTGAAGTGTTTTGGGGAGTCAGGARCCAAGAGCTGGTGTTTGAGGCAGTTTTTAGTGGGTTTGTCCCATAGAAGGTAAATTCAGACTGAGTCAGACCTGAAACAATTAATTAGAATGTGTAATTCGAATGGCACTGAGATTCAGCGGAAAATTATCCACTGTAACCATCAGCTGAATTAAAAACTGCAGGAGGCCATTAGCATTACCCAAACTAATGTTCAGCACTTCCAAGGCAAAGCCATGAGCAATTCCCTCAATGTCTGCAGACTGGTGGGGCTGTGGGAGCTGGGTATAAGCAGCCCTTTCCTCTCATCCCCTCATTCTCAGATTTAAGTGAGCTGAGACTACATTCTCTTCCTTTTAGTCCAGCATCAGATGAGGTCATGGCATGTTTTAAGTTAAATGGAAAATATTTGCACAGAAGAATACAATCCTTCTATTTGCATGTCTCATTGCCTGCTAATTTATTKAAGCTGGGACAATCTTCTGATCATGGCCAAATGAAGAATCTAACAGCACCAGTAATGAGGGCTGCAAGGCAAATGTGTAATTTTAGCAGATGTTTAATRTGCAGATGAATTCACTAATTCAAGCAGAGAATATTCCTAATAAGTAACAGAAAGCTGCTGGGAAACAGGGCCGTGGTGCTCACAGGAGGAGAGGGGCTGTGCAGAGCTGAGGAAGGGCTGCTGACCAGGAAAGGGCTCCTTTATCTGGAGACATTTCTGCAGCTTTTGACRCGAATATCTGGGAAATGTAGAGTCATTTTTGCAATGACAGGAAGGCAGRCTGTGATAAGACCCTTTAAGAGACTTCTTGAATTTGTCAGGAGGAGCCRCGCAGGAGTGTCAGGGCCCTCTGTTATCTGGAGGAACGTGGAGTAATCCCTGATGTGAGAAGGGTAGCCCAGTCYCTCACTTAAGCTGACAAATGTCACCAGAGTGCTTTGAGGCCGAGGGATTAGCCTGACATTTGCAGCACAATGTCTTTTTGATGCTGTACTTTGTTTTTCCAAACTCCAATGGTTTAACTGGATTAAGCTGAGAAAGGGCACCAGTTGAGCGAAATAATCGAAATAACCRCGGCCTCCAAGGGGACTCCCAGCCAGGTCCCGGGAGCTGCTCCTGAATCTGAATTTTATTCCGCAGAAAGCGCCCGGCACCTGGACCTGCCCTGCAAACGCTCGTACCTGGACGCCTCGTCCTCGGTGGGGGACGATCACTATTTCCGCTCTCCGCCGCCCTACGAGCAGCAGATGCTGAGCCCGTCCTACTGCGGCGAGGTGGCCCCGCGGGAGGCCTGCATGTACTCTGGCTCCGGCGCCGACATCGCCGCCGTCTCGGCCGTCGACGATTTACCACCCCCGCCGCCCCCCCTGAGCTGTAACATGTGGACTTCAGTCGCACCTTACACCAGCTACAGCGTCCAGACCATGGAGACTGTGCCCTACCAGCCCTTCCCTCCTCACTTCACCGCCGCCCCCATGATGCCGCGGCTGCCGGCCATCGCGGGCCAGGCCTCGCAGCCGCCGGGGAACGGCCACTTCAGCGTCTACAACCAGCTGTCCCAGTCTCAGGTCCGGGAGCGCGTTCCCGCCTCGTCCTTCCCGAGGGAAAGGGTGCACCCGTCCGTGTGTGAGAGGAAACCCCCCTCTCCGCACCTAAACGCGGCCAACGAGTTCCTGTACTCACAGAGCTTCTCCCTGTCCAGGGAGTCGTCGCTGCAGTATCATTCAGGGATGGGGACTGTGGAGAACTGGACTGATGGGTGACCCCGAGCGATGCCACAGCCAGCGTTCCCGCTCCAGGACAGTGTTCGATCGGTGTTGATACCTGTGGGTAACTTGCACTTCGGTGAGACACACGTGCGTTTCCAGAGGGATTTGTGGGGGTGAAGAGCTTGTACCTTCAGGCACACGGAGAATCCCACCTCCTGTCTCAGTGGGCTGGATTCATCAGGCTCTTACTGACTCCCAAATAAATTCATTCTCGTGTCTTCATCCAGTAGAAACCATCTTCATGACTAACGAGTGAYGTAGCTAATCATGTCCTTTTGCTTGTAATGTTAAACATCCGTGAGCAAATTTTGGCTGTTTGGGAAAAACATGAGCTTCACTTGTATGGTCCTYGAATGATGAAGCCACAACCTCCCAAAACTCCAAGGAAAAAGCCATTTGATCGGTTGCGTAGCTCAAGGACTGCCGTGGCAGCGCTTCTGTAGCYCTTTAGATCCGTAGAAATTCCTCGTTCCTCTGGAAGTGAGGGAGCAGTGGGAGCCTGCGGAGCGCGGGCCCGGGGAGCTGTGGTGCCGCCCCGGCGCCTCCCCGGCAGTGCAGGGTCCGTGCCAGTGGCAGAGAGGAGAAGGCACCGATGCACAAATGTCTCTTCTTCCCCCCACAGCACCGTGCCCGTGGCTGTGGGAAGYGAAGAAGTGAAGTGTTAAGCCCGAGGCCAAAAAGCAAATTAATTGCAGCGTTAGGAACAGACCCAGTGTCTTCAGACTCCCATCCCTCGATTGAACCACACTTGCTTATTGCAATATATTTATGAAGTTTAAGCTTAAAAGTCGCTAATACTTTCCAGAACCAATTTCTGTATTTGCTGGTCCTTGATTTCTTTCCTTTTCAGCTGAAACGTGCCTTTTGTGCTATGTTCTTTCCTTTTGCATCCTGCTCAGACAGAATTGTTTCAGAATTGTATTCAGGAGGAATATTTTCCTAATGGTGGGGTGGGGAGGGAGAGCTCCCACAGCCTGTCAGGCCTTGCAGTGTACAAATATTCGTAGAACAGGTAAAACCAGTGTTTCCATTGCTCCTTTTGGTTACTGTGGAAGTGTCCAGAGCCGATTCCTCCAGCGTGGGCTTTGCCTCCCGGAGTGTCCCTGTGAGCTGGTGAGGGGACATCAGGCACAGGTTGGATTTGATGATTTCAGAGGTCTTTTCCAACCTCAGTGATTCCATAAGGAGGGATCCCTCAGCTGACACCCATGTGGGAAGCAGCGGCATTCCTTCTGGAACATTCCCTCTCCTGTGTCCCCCTGTGGCCCGCGGTGCCCACCCCGCTGAGCTCAATGCCACCCCAAGGGACGGTGACAGAGGTGATGCTGGAGTTGGGTCCAAYGAACAGCACAACGTTCAAGCTTTAATCATTCCACAGCGGGGTTTTTAATTCTYCCTGTTGCTTCCTGGGCAAAGGCCAAAAGCTGAAATGCAGAAATGCAGGTTTGGGGGTCGGGAGGTGCTTCTGTGTTTTGGTGAATCCGTGCCAGGGAAGAGGCTGCTGGGTAAGGGTGGCTGTGACACAGCCCTTGGTCACATCTCAACCAGGACAATCCCACGCACCCACTCAGCAGAATCCGTGTGTGAGCGGTGTGGATTTTGTAACCAGATTTTGGAAATCACTACAATTTTTGCATGCTGAATAGCTATTTATATACATATATATTTTATATATATATATATAAAAAATATATATATCACAAATGCAGGCCACGTGTCCAAWTCAGCTTTGCTTTTGACGAATGAAATACTTAATAAAAATGAATGTTGCAAGGGTTTTTTTTTTTTTTTGAAAGACATCTATTTAAGATTTTTTTTTTTTATTACACACCTTTGATGTAAAAACTAAGAATTGGTTAGACAAAAAAACATATATACTACAGATAAATCTTTATTAGAAACCACATTAGATACAGGTGGTATGGAATTTTTAAATGTTTGTTACATAGCATGGACATTTTATTTTACATATCAGAACATAAAGTCATTTTACTACTATAAGCTGTCTCTGGGTGCATTTCAATAATTTGTATAAAAACGTTCCACGGTGAATTAATGCCTCGTCTCTCTTCTGTCTCCTYCTGCCTGACTACACCAATCCCACACTTCCCAAGGCCCACATTGACCCTTTTTTCACCATCTCAAAGCTCCACCACCAGACTTTAGGTGCCCGTGGCAGGGCTTTGGGTTGGTTTGGGATTTTTCTTTTTTTTTTTTCTTCTTTTTTTTCTGGTGTTTCTTTGTTTTAGCTGACAGGAGCTGAGCAGAGCACTGGGTTAAAAGCAGCCCCTGCTCACCAAACCCCCATTCTTGTGTCTGGGTGCAGCTCAGTGACAACGGTAAAGAATTAAATGTTGGAGGGAGTGGGAAGAGCTCTGGGGGTATCTCTGGCCAGAACTGGAAATGCTCAGTTCATTTCTCACCCTGACACTGGATCAACACTGAACCAGACAAATGTAACCTCAAAATGAGCGGGGTCAGCAGCCCGGGGTGTGAAGGAAAAGCTGCTGGGATCTCCCACCTGCTTTCCAAAGGTGACCAMCACAATAACAACRTCACTGAAATGAACAATCACTGCTGCTATTTTAAACCATCCATGCAGTATTTATTGATTTAAGGCAGTTAAAAAGTAGCTCCTATAAGAATCATTGGAGGAGCTCTCAGTTGTGCAGGGGATGCAGGGAAAGCTGGATGATGGAATTGCTGCAGGTTTTACCTGGAGAGCTCTCAGCAGTGCTGCTGGCAGCCCCTGCACAGGGCACGGCCCAGGCTCTGTCCCAAARCAGCCACTGGAGCTGAGAGAGTGCCCTGACAATCCCTGTGCCAAAAAAACGAGCTTTTCCCTATAAAAATAGCACATGATGTTTGTGACTAAAGGACCTGGTGGGGAAAGGCTGAGTTAGCACAAAAATGTGCAAAATTTGGATATATGTTAATCTGGTCATCTGGGTTCCTTTTATAGTCACTGGAGAGAGATCAGACATTGAGATGAAAAGGGATGAATCATTCTCTGGTGATGATCTTTTTCCACTCAGAGAGGAATTCAGTTCAGCCACTTAGAGCAGATTTCCCATTTCCAAATGGCTACAAAGTCATGTTAGTGGGATCCCCATCCTGTGTGACAAAAACATTCAGAGAGCATTGAATTATTCACATTATAAATCCCACTGTGCTTGAGCAGTGACAAAAAAAATATGGCTGTATTAATTTATGGGATGGAAATAGGTGGTTCTTTTTGGTTTTTTTTTGGTTTTTTTTTAGTTTGTTTATTAGTTCATTGCAAGATTTCTCACCTGGGTGTTGTCCAATCCCAATCCTGAAATCCTGGGTGAGGCACCCAGGTTCCACTTGATTTCTCCCAAATATTTGGGAATATTTTCCCACCCAGCAGGTGCTGGTTGTGCTGCTGGCTGAGCAGGATCATTCCCAGGGATGAAGAACCTGGAGCACAGTGATCCTGAGTATCCTGGAGGATTCACCCTGTTTGTTTTTCAAATCAGAAACACTAAACTGGGGACATCACAAAAAAAAAAAAATCCCAACAACCTGCACAGCTTTAAAAGAGATCAAGTGTGCTTACCGTGTCCCAGTTTGATTTACTGCAGTTTAAACAGCTTTTAATTCTCAAGAATGTGGAGGTTTTTGTGTGTGGAGGCTTTTCCAGCCCCAGAGCTGCAGCTGGGAACGGCAATCCAAGCTCGAGGAGCCAGGCCCATTTCAAATCAGATTAAAGCAAAAATTAGCAAGTGAGAAAAACCTGAATACACACGAGGACCGTTTGCCATTGATGTGCTCTAATCTGGACTCAAAGGCCCAGGGAATTTTTTAATTCTGTTTTTCTTGAAGGTCGATGTCCAGATTTCATCTTGGCCCAAGCAAGCTCAGTTCCACYGAGCCCAGCAGCACTCGGTGCCAGCACTGAGTTTGGACTTCCCTCGAAATAGAACAAATATTTGTATCAGCTTGCTGAGAATGTGAGTAATAGGAATATTGGCCAAAATTTAAACAAGCTAAACTTYACTCCTGCCAAAAGCCCCACCATTCAATTTGGCATCGCTGGCAGCTCACAGGCTCAAGAGGGGCCTAAGTCTGGAAGAGCCGGGGTGTTTTTGGCAAACATGAATTTATTTTTCTCTCTCTCTACATTTTGGAAAAATTGTGCCTCTCTGTATTAATTTATGATGTCATTAAATAATTCTTTTTGCAGCTTGTATAGAAAGAATGTTTCTTTTGAAGATGAGAACTCCCCTGAGGATGGTTATAGTGAAAAATTCCAGCCAGAGGGAAAAAAAAACCTTCTCTCTCCTTGGCCACTCATGTTTCTGCAGTAGTGCTTAAACAGCATAAAAATCTACAATATTTTAATTTAAGGGCCTGCTCCAAGGAGGTGCCAAGCACTTGACTGTGACAAGAGGCAGCCTAAATTCAGTGTGATCAGATTTTATTTTATTTATCATGGGATTTTATTTCTGTGATAGCAGGCTGGAAGAGAAATCTTGAGCCCATGACATGCTGGTAGAAAACATCATGGTTTGAACTGATTTGCWCTCCACAAAGTAGAGGATCAAGATTAAAAATTAAAGAAAATCAAATTTTGGGAGTGGTACACGCAAAGCACAAAGCTTTGGCCAACATGAATCTTATTTGATGTGAGATCACTGACATGAGAGAAATGTCTGGAAAGCAGGCTCTGGGTTTAGGGGGTGCTTTCATTATTGGGGTCCCAGCTTCTCTGTGCCCCAGCCCTTGTTAGCACAGCTCACCCTGTGTCCTGCTTAAATCAAAATTAATTTTAAATTTAAACTTGGCATGGGCTGCTCAGCCTCACCGATAAATGCCCAGCAAGGGATGGTGATGCCCTCGGGGTTTTTTGTCACCTTGCTGGGTGTTTGTGCCTCCACGCTCTCGTTCCTCTTGGGAAGATCCTTTTCCTGGTCGTGGCCAGTAAATGTTCCTGTCTGAGCACTCTGGGATACCAGTTCAGATCTCACCGTGGATTTACACAGAGTGTGCAGCCTCCAGGCTGGGAACTGCCCCCATGGGCCCGAGCCCACCTTTGGAATCAGGTCCTGAGAGAAGGAAATTAAAAAGTTGATTAATTAGTGCAGAGTGTTAATAACRCTAATTCAGTTAAATTCAGGGTAATTGCTGTTTTTGTTAATTAGAAACTCATTTAACAAAAGAAAAGCAACACCCACTGGAATGAAAAAAGGAGGAATAGTTACAACAGATCCCAAGGCTCTTGTTCCACTGAAAAAATCCTAATGGGAAAGAGGTTTGAATGAATATTTGGTCAATGCCAGCATTTTTCATCTGGGTTCTTTTTGCTGTAATTTTCCCTAGTTCTCARCAAACACTAATTTTTGGCTCCCAACCACACTTTGCTGCAGTTTCGAGGAACATTTTCAGCAGGGTTCTATTTACAAACTGGTGCAAAAAAAAAGAAAAATTAGGTGGAATGTCAGCACCATCTGCTTGGGCAGCAATGATTGTAACAGCCCCGAAAGACAAAATTTGACAAATGTATCTTCGAGCTGGGAGGCTGACACTGATAACAGGAACCTGGGCCAGATTTGTGGACTAATCCTCAGCCCCTGGCAGCAGGGATGGACACATCCTTGGACAAGAATTTACTGGGGAACAACATGTACAGAGAACAATGTGTGCAACACCATTCCTGCTCAACAGCCTTACATAAGGCAGGCAACAATGCCTGATGCAGCTCAGCAGAGATGAAAAGCAACATTTTTGTGTTTTTGTGCCAAAATCCCAAGGCTCGGGCCTATTTCTGTTGAAGTCAATAGGAAAAGTTTTATAGATTTCAGCAGAGCAGGACCAGCCCTTTAATCTTTCCCTCCCTGAGCCCAGGCTGCAGCTTTGGCTGTGCAGGGCAGTTCAGGAATGAGCCTGGGGTATTTGAGTTTGATGGATGACACAGGCACRCTCTGAAAGCTGCAGTTTGCTCATGCCCAAGGTGTCTGAGCAGCTACTGAGAGAAAAGAAAAATCTGAATCCAATATTGGATTGTGTTGAATTAATCAGTTGTGAATTTGATACATGAAAAATTACTGAATGTAACAGTAATACCCAAACCATTGATTATCGCTTCTAAATCCAGGAGCCCATTTTAGCCTGGAACTTTGGAGCAGGTTTTCCTGGGATGAGGAATCAATCATGGGGCATCCTGGAGTTGGGATGAACTCGTCTGGCACATCAGAGTGACCTGAAGCAATCTGAGCTCCAGRGCTGCCCGGGCTGAAGGCAGAGGGGACAAAAGCTCCTGGCAGGGCAGGAATGGCACTGGGGACAGGGATCCATCCCATTCAAATAGCAGCCACAGTGTCTCACCTGATCTGACACCTCTGGAGCAGGAYTTGGTCTGAGCCTTATTCACCAAAGGGGACAGAGAGTAAAAAAGGGKTTTAGCCAAATAAAAATTCTGCCTTAAATGAATCCGTCCTTCCTTCTCATCCTTCTGACAACGCGGCCAGTTCAAAGCCTGGAGAGTTCCCCCTCTCCCCCTCACCATTTATCATTCTGAAGGCAAGGAGACAGGTTAGAGGCAGGGAAAGCTTCCACTGGGATTTCTGTCGAGGATCACAGCACAGGGCTGGATTTCCACCCAGCGTTGGAGCAGAGCGCGTGCCCGCAGCCCCTCTCCCATTCCAGGAGAAAAACACAGGGATTTGAACTCTGGATAAACACTGTCCAAGCTCTCCCAGCCTSGAGGTGTCAGTGCAGTGAGCTGGAGGGGTTTGCTCAGAAAGCCAAGAGGGCAAATATTGTCCTTTAAGWTGTACAGGACACTGAGCATGGGGCAGTGATGCTGCTGTCCCCATGGATCCACTGAGCATCCTCACAGCTTSAAAAGCAGAACTCTGGAAAGGTGCAAAAAGGCAGAAAAGGAACTTTTATCCTATTTAATCCAGACTTAAGATCCCCTTCCTCCTGGGATCTCTTATTATGTCTTCAGTTAAGTTTCAATTTTGCAGGTACAGGGGCCAGTCCTGCTCATCACATTGGTGCTAATAAAAAAAATCC